CCCAACCCTAATGAAAACTTTGGTGGGACTTACTAAATTGGCATTTTTGCATGTTTATCTTTTATCAATTCACTTTTTGTGTCTTTCTACTTCTCAAAAACAAATATTTTAATAATAATAACTAAAAAAAAAAAAAAAACCAGAGAGCATAGTATGATGTTCCTCCTCTTTCTCTCAGCTTTACTGACAAAGTGCTGTTGATTCTGGCTCAGGGTGCCCTCTTCTGCCTACACTCTCTGGCCCCTAGTCATCGCTTCCTTGGGGTCACTCTGCCCTCATTCTTGTCCATTCCCAGCCATTCTCTATGCTGTCCACAAGCAAAGCTCTCACATGGAGTTGAGCTTGACATAGCTGGTTTTGAAATCTTGAGTAGTTCCCATTATCTGACAGAGGTTACAAGCAGGGTGCCTCTAGGGGATGTTGATGGGATTCCTCTCAGGTTTGCTCATATCTTTTTTGCAGTTTTTACTTGACCTTCTCTTGGCTTCCATGTGCTTTTGCCCCTACAGTAGGGACGGAGACTCTTCACCTATCGCACAGGGAGTACCTAGAGGTTTCCATCCTGTGGGAGGGTTCCAAACCCTCATGGGCATGAAGTGTGAAAATGTGAAAGCAAGCCCCCTTGCCTCAGGTCAGGACTACTCTGAGGCATCACTTCCACTGCAAAACTCATCTGCAGAAGCAGCCTGAGGCTCCCTTCCACAGGTCTTCCTTGCAAACACACGCCTGCTTTTCCACCCCTGGCCTGCCCTACGTCATCCCCCTTTCCCAGACTGGCTTCTCCTGGGAATACCTTCTTAATAAGCCACTTGCATATGAATCTTCATCTCAGAATCCACTTCTAGGGACCTGACCTAAGACATTCCACTCCCTATGGGCCAAATTTAGATTTAAAACATTGTTTGTCATAATTAATTTTCAAGCTGAGTATTTTTAAACTGCATTTACTAACCCAATTAATTCTTACTGCTTCCTTCTATTTTATTTTAGTCCTATTTTGTTTACTGACCTTCTTCACCCAGCCCCTGAAAGCACTTGAGTTTTTAATACCTGACCTATTGGGTTTTAGCCAAGATAGGGTGATTTAGGGTACTTGACACACTCACTTTATTATACATATCTAGCTTCATCTCCCACCTCCCTGTCCCAGGCACCCGAATTTCCTGCCACTACTGAATGCCTTTGTATCCCCTGGGCATGTAGACACTTGCTCAACATCTTCCCTTTACATGTGATTCTTGGTCTGAATGAAAGAGTCTCCTCTACTGTAGGTCCACCTTGCAAAATCCTATTCATCAAAGCCCTTATCAAATGTCTCTTCCTCTGGGAATGCCATTTCTCCAGTTTTCCATGGGTTCCCCCAACACCTTTCACACATGACTGTGATTTGACATACCATACCAGAGTAAAATCTTAAGGACATCTGGGATTAACTTAGTGGAGGGAGAGCATGTGAATGTGTTTTAGGCAAAGAAACTTCAGGGGAAAGACATCGTGGTGGGTTGGGGGAGAGGATGGAGTAGAACATCACATGCTGAAAGAACTGCGTCCAGACCAGTGCTGGAGGCAGCTAGAAAGGCAGAGGGAAAGGGTGCAAGGGAAGAAGGACAGGTGACTGGGAGACACAGCAGTCTCCAGTCTGTAATTCATGGGTGAATGTGAGGGGATAGGAAAACACCCTCCATCCTATATCATGTTGGTGTATTTCCATTTTTTTTCTGGGGACAGAGTTCATAGTTTCATCTCATATCTTTATTAAGAGCAAGAAACAGAAAGGGAAGGAGGGAGAGAGAGGAGAAAGACAGGGATAGAGAGAGAGAACAGAGAAAGAGAGAAGAGAATAAGAATATTTGAACATTCTACATGTCAGAACAGCACCCAGGCCCCTACTCCCCATAACAACATAATGAGGTCTACAGCTACCACTGATCCCATTTTGCAGGGGTAAAACTGAGGTTCAGAAGGGCAGAAGCTCTCCAAGGACACAGCCTGTCCATGTCAGAGCCAAGATGCCAATCCAGTTTTAGGACATGCAGGGTCATGCTCTTTGCTCTACTGGCTCCTGGACAAGAGAGATCAAGTAGAGGTATCTCCAGAAGGCTTTTGTGTGACTTCATGAAGCTAGGACATGGAAAGCTGCAGGCAGAGGATGGCTGGTGGTGTTCCATTAAATGCTCCTCTGCCCTGTTAGCCTATAAAACTGAGGTTGCTTGGGAACTGTGGTCATGGGGTCAGAGCTTGCCTAGACAACTTCATTTGAAAAAAAAAAAAGTGTCTAACAATCAAAAGCTTGAGACTATGAGGAGAGAGATAGAAAATTAGAAAGCCATCTGCTCTCTCACAACCCTGTAGTCTCCTTTGATTTAACATGTGTTCTTTATAATTATCTACACTTTAAAGCCATGATTCTCAAAGTGTGGTCTCAGGAATGGCAGCATCAGCATCATGTGAGAACTTGTTAAAAATACAAATTCTTAGGCTCCACTTCAACCCACCTGATCAGAAACACGGGGGGTGGGGCCCAGCAATCTGTTTTAACAAGCTCTCCAGTTGATTCAAATGCACATCTAAGTCTGAGGACCACTGATGTAAAGTGTGCAAAGCCCTCTCAGATCTATTATCTCAGTGGTTGTTTCAGGAAATGTTGAAAACATTTTTCTTAGTGCCACTGTACATTTGAGGACACTGAGGATAAAAGGGGATGTGATTTCCTCATCATAAATCCAGATTGGTTGGCTTTGTAGGATAGCCCACTTTCTTTGAGGACGGTATGTCTCGCACCATGTTCTCATTTGTATCCCCATGAGACCCACCACCTACCAGGAGTTTAAAAGCAGCTTTGTCACCTTCCCTCTGAGCATTCATGTGCTTCATGACAAACCAGTGACAAATAACCAATGTGGATACCTTGTAGGACCCTACCTGATGTGGGAAAATATATTCAGACCAATCCACTTGACTTCAGCTATGAAAATAATTTGGGTGTCTAGGAAGACTTCTGATCCATTAGAGATATATGTTGCCCCCATAAAAAAATTCTGCAGACAGAATTATCTTATCTCTTCTCCCCAGAACTCAGCATCCTGGCTTCTTTCTGTTCCTTGGCTATATTTCAATGGCTTCATCACTCTCAGGTCTTTGCATCTGCTCTCCTTTCTGCCAGGATGCCTGTTCTAGCAGCTCTTCATGTGGTTGACTCACTAGCATTCTCCAGGTCTCAGCCCAAATGCCTCCTCTTCTAAGAGCACTACTTTGGCCACTTCATCTAAAGTCATGTTCAGTGTCATTCTCACTTACTGTCTGGTTTATCTCTTTGGAAGCATGTTTTACAGTCTTGGTTATATATTATTGACTTGTGTGTTGTTGGTCTTACCCCACTTTAATAGAGGATCCAGAGAGCCCAGAGACTATGCTATTCTTATTCACTACCATCCCCCCTGTGTCTGTAAGAGGGTCTGGTTCAATAAACATTGCTTGAATAAATGAATGAAGGAGAATGAATGAATTCAGAGGGCTTAAGTGATTAGTCCTGAGCCCCGTAATTGTATTCAAGTATTTGGACTCCACTGTTCTGAGTCCAGGTTCATTGATTTTTTCCAATACAATCTAACCATTTCTGCTTTCACTCTATTCACACATGTTTAAACCAACAAGGTTAGAGGAGACATACCGTTCCTAATAAAGAACATGGGACTTGGTGACTTGGAGTTCACATTCTGTGATGTGGCAAGGAGTAGGCGAGTGGGCACGGTACAAAACCAGCTGTGTAAATAGCATCACCTCCAGTCCAATTTAAATGAAGTCAGTAAATTACACCTCCAGACCTTAAACCATTTATTTCACCACGCTAGAGAAAGGAAAAGGAGTGTTCAGAGAAGTAATTTCTCTGCCCAGGTATTTCATTAAAAACAGACTGGAAGGGGCCCCTGTGGGAGAACATGGCACCTGATATGATTGTGGGAGACACTTTTTACAGAATGGAATAATCAAATGGCGGTTCACCTATCGCAGTTGGTTCTCACCATTATCAATAATGGAGGGCCACAAGTGGGGATGAACTCCAGCCCATAGTGTGCTCTGGAGGAGACAGAGTGCCAGACCAGCCCTCTGCCAGCAGAAGCAATAACACCAGTGTTAATAACAAGTCTCACCTTTTTCAACTCTCTGGGGGATAACTATTTTGTGTGTGTGTGTGTGTGTGTATGGAGGGAGGTGATCTTAATATTTTTCTCCCTCTCCTTGGTTTCTGACAATGGAAATGTACCTGCTGATAATATTTTATTGGCTTAACATGCACAATAGAGTCAGCTTTTGCTCTTTTTGCTCGTTTGACACCACAACAAAACAACCTCATCCAATATCGGTATCAGAGAAGGTTAACTCTGGATGGCTCTGGCTGAGGGTTGCCTATCAGTATTTACCTAACTAGCATTTGTTCTTAAAAGATAACTGAGGTGCAGGGCTGCAGAGCTTTCAATAACTCATTTTCAATAACCCATTTTCTTTGAACCTTGCTATAATTCCAAGAACAAAGCAAAAATTCTTGTTTCCATTTGAAAGAAGAGGAATCTGAAAGGAAGGTCATGCAATTTGCTTAAGATCCTTTAGTTAGTGAATCGCAGAGCTAGAGTTCAAACCCAGGCAGAGCACAATTTGTAATGCACAGTAGACTCAAGGGGCCTCTATGGGTGCTAATAATAATAATAATGTTAATACTAATATGATTAATATTAACCCTAATATTTATTATTAATATTAGCACCTAATAAATGTTAAGTACATGCCAATACTATAAGTGTATTACACGTATAATTTTATTTAAATCTCATACACAGTAAGTTATTTAATTTTCACCACAACCTTATCCAGTAGGAAATATTACTTTCTATAGATAAAAATACTAAGGTTCAGAAAGTTTAATGGTTTGCCTATAATAGTCTAAAAGTGGCAGAGCTGTAATTCAAACGCACGTCTTTCAACCTCTTTTTGCTCTTCCCCAGAACCCCAAGCAAACCACATCAGATACCACCAGGCTTCTCACAGCAATGATTCTGAACCCAGAGATGTGAAACCTGGTTTGGCTACCAAGTCATGGTGTGACCTCTGGATGAGTCTTCTTGCCTTTCCAATGGGCTGTGGGGCTGGCCAGCGTCTGCTCCATCTTGATTCCTCCTGCAGTGTTCGTTTCCACTGCATACAAACAAGAACAGAACACACAAAGCCACCATCTGGTAAGCATTCCAGTTGAACTCCTTCAGATGCAGAATCACCAGGTTTAAACATTAATGGTGAAAGGAACTTTCCTTGCTGGACACAAGTCTCAGGAAGACAGAGCAGGAGATACTCTGATGTCCTTTTGCGATCGCTCCAGGAACAGCAGCAAGAGGTTCATTGCCTCACCTCATGCACTGTTCACAAGGGGCTTTGGGAAAAAAGAGAAAGAAAAAAAAAACCCACCACCTGGAGCTGAGAACATAATTACACAAACTTGAAAATGAGGTAAAGACCAAATTAAAGCAGTAAGCCTAAGGCATAAATACAAATGGATGACGATCTGCAAATCCCTTGTGGCAGCAAGTTAAAAAAAGAAAGTGAGAGAGATCCTCTTGATATTAAAGTAAAAGTTGAAAAAAGTAAAATGTGGCAGGTAGCACAGAGGTGGAATCCAGGGGTTTCGCATTCCTCATAGGGCTCTGAATAGACATGATCGTCATAGCAATAGAGGCACCAGGCACTATGCTGAGCTTCATCTCACTTCAAGTTCACTCAGTCCCAGGAGACAGTTATTGTCACTACTCCCATCTCACAGATGGGCAAGTGGACTCCGATGCTAAAATCTCATCCAGAACATACAGCTAGTGATACAGCCAGGATTCAGAGTCAGGGTGTCTTTGTCCTGAGCTTTGCTCTTAACCAATGTAATAGACTGTTTAGAGCAGAGTTTAAGAGCAGCCCCAGTCACTGGCTCTATTCCAGACCAGGGAAACCCGCTTTATTCAAGGGATAAGACAATGTGTCCAAACCCAGTGGCCAAGTTTGCCATCTTGACTCTCTCTGCTTCTTTTCTCAGCCCCACGCCAAGTACTGTCTTTGCCCCGTTTCTTAATCCCCCCTGCTAAGTCATCGTTCTCTCTCCACATTATGTATGACATTCATTTCTTCCACTATACTCAAACTTCTTTATTTGGTTATTGATCACGTATTGATTGACTGGTTGGCTGATTCATGAGTCTTCAAATATCTCCTAAGGTGTGTACTTCAATACTAAGCTCTGTCGAGGTGCCGAGCCACAGAGAGAAAGGTACGGAGGGTGAGGGTGTGGAGTGACGTGCAGGAAACTCCCTCAGGGAGCTCATGGTGCAGTGAAGACAATGTGTTAGGCGAACGTATCTCAGCTGACAGTGAAGGGGGTGCAGCTGAGCTATCTGTAGGGGCTGAGAGAAAACACAGAAGGAGCCCCAAAACCCACCTAGGTGAGGACAATAGATTCCCTGGAAGTGATGCTGGAGGTGAGGGGCTCTTCAGTCCCACCTAGGATAGTGTGCACAGGAGGCCATTAATGCTCCAACTCTGCAGTGCACGAGAAGCACCAGGGGACTGGTAGAGAAATTGGAACATGGGCCTCATAACCTCATGAGCCATAGAGTCTTAGATGGCCATCTGGTTAGTGTCAGGAACCTACGTTGTTAACAAGTTCTCAAAGTTCTCAATTTCATTTCAGGTGGTCTGAGCTGCAGCAGGCAGTCAGTTAGTAGTTGCTAATGAATACATGCAAACACACATACATACATGCCATTGAAATAGACAAATGCATAGTTACATGTTTAGTAGCTACTCCTCACAGACAGTATTTCAGAACGCCCCCCCTCTCCTCCACAGTGGAGTTATTGCACAGTGTTGCTGGATGAGAGAGTCCAGTTTTCTGGAACCCCTGGAATAGCTGATGTGAAGGGTAAAACACACTTAGGTCAAAGTCATAGTAAGAGGTTTAATGAACAACAACAACACAATAACTGTTCATTGTCCGGGAACAGGATGTGAAAGTCTGCACTCAGACTCAGTTGATAAGGCCCAGTCCCCTCCTCTGCCCCATGGGTCATGGAAATAGGAAAATAACAGAGGTGATAGTGTCCATGAGTCTGAGGAACCAGAAAAGTCAGGACATAGTATCCACAAAAGGCTGAGCCAAGAAAGGACTCAGCACTTCCATGAAATTTCATAGCAAGGTGGTGAGAAAGGAGAGGAATAATATAAGACTGAGTTGGAAAGGCAGAATGGACTAGGTGACCTGGCGCCTTGTAGCCATGGATGGTGCCTTCCAATGTAACATGAAATGAAATGGAAAGCCCTTGAAAGGTTTAAGCAAGAAAATGACATGATTTGTTCTAAGAAGGAGGCCTATTGTGTGGTTATAACACAATTTTTATCCATTCAGTAGTTGATAGATATTTTGGTTGTTCCTACCTGGTGGCTATTGTGAATAGCGCTACTGTGAATGTTCATAGACAAGCTTTTGTTTGAATACCAATTTTCAGTTCTTTTGGGTATGTACCTAAGAGTGACATTGCTGGGTTAATTAAATACTTAGCTTCTTAAGGAACTGCCGCAGTGGCTACCATTTTACATTCCCACCTCTATGGAAGAGGGTTCTAATGCCGTCTACACATTACAAAATGGATGAACCTTGAACACGTTATGCAAAGTGGAAAAAAGTCAGACACAAAAGGCCATGTATTGTACAACTCCACTTATGGGAAGTGTCCATGATAGACAAATCCATGGAGTCAGAAGGCAGGTTAGAAGTTGCCAGGGGCTGGAGGAGAGAAGAAATGGGGAGTGACTGCTGGTGGGTGCAAGGTTTCCTTTTGGAGTGATGAACTGGAGTTCTAAGTTCTAGAATTAGACAGTGGTGATAGTGCTTGCATAATACTGTGGATGCATCTAATGCCATTAAATTGTATGCCTCAAAACGGTGAAAATGGTAAATTTTATAGTATATGTATTTTACTGCAATTAAAAAAAATGGATGCCTAGCAATTGCATGGAGCATTAGTTAGGAGGAGGACGTGAGGAAGGCTGCATGGAGATGGTTTCAGTAGTCTGCATAAGGGACCACGGAGGCTCCGAAGAGGAGGGAGGCCGAGGGATTCTGCAAAGACAAATGGAGTTCCATTCACTTGACAAGTGAGTTTTTGGGTTTCAGTAGTCTGCATAAGGGACCACGGAGGCTCCGAAGAGGAGGGAGGCCGAGGGATTCTGCAAAGACAAATGGAGTTCCAATTGACAAGTACATCTGAGTGAAACTGCTAGAACAACCATTCCTTGTTGTTCCTTCTTAATGCAACCTCTTTTTCTGTTTCCCATCAATTTACTCTTTGTATCCACTGACTCATCCCTACATCTCTCCTCCCACTGAACCCTCTATTTTACTGGAGGCATCATGTCTTATTACATTTGTTAAATAAATAAAATAAATCAGTAGCATCAGATAGCTTAAGGTTGTATGTGCAGACCTGCTGAGTGGCTCTCCTCATTACACCTTCCTCCCCATTTTCCTAGCCCAGCCAACCTGGGGTCTTGGGTTGCACGGAAGGAAACAGGCCCTGAAATCAATACAGTATTTAACGGGAAGGTGCTGAAGCGTGGCCAGTCCAGAAGCAATCGGGAGGGCTTCTCCGGCCTGGCTGAAGCCTGCCCAAGCCGTGGTGGAAGCCCCAGAAAGACAAATTGCAGTCATCAATCCCAGGGAAGAAAGACTTGCATTTTACCTCCTGTATCAGCAGGAGGGAGAAAGAGTTGCATCCTGGAAGCTCTGTTTCTGAGATGGTAATGAGGATCCTTCCGACACCGGATGACAGTGGACTTGAAAGCAAGTCAGAAATCACCCGGTTTCCTGTTAGCAGCCTGACTTTATATGCTGTGGGGTCAGCACGGGCCAGGCCTGTTGGCGTGACTTTGTGGAGAAGGTGCTCTGATCCCATTAATATGGACTCTGCCTCCTCTGACCCTAACACGAATAAGCATGCTGCCATCCACTGTGCACAAAGATCAGGTACAAGGAGGAACCACTCAGAGCCATGAAAAATAAACATAACAGACTTGTGCGAACATCATTCACTATACTCTTCTCATATAAGACAGTCCTGTGTCTTATAATCCAATTATAATGGAGCCTGGTGTTGGGCATCATTACGTTTCATATCGAAAAAAAAACAAATACACAGGCATCCCTGAGTAGAAAGCAAAGTGGCAAGGAGGTTAAGTCCATTGCTTCTGAAGTCACACAAACCCAAGTTCAACTATTGGCTCTACACCTCCTAGTTGAATGACCTTGGTGGGAAGATTACTTAGAGTTGTAAAGCCTCAGGCTCCTTCTCTGGAAAATGGACATAAACAGAAATGAACATAAAATGGACATAATCGTATTGACTTCATAAAGCTACTGGAGACTATATGATACATACATGTTAACATCTATTATGTGGCTTGGGTGCTGGTGAAGGACTTGCACAACAACACAGCACAGATGTATAGCAAATGTTCAGTACTTTTCAACTGTCATTATTATTGGAATCATGGCTTTATGCAAAAGCAGGAAATTCCTTTGCTATACCGATCTACCTCACCTAGGATTATGGCAGGAAATGTCCACAACTATAAATGATCAACTTACTCTTCTTAGCCTTTTCCTCAGCAGAACCCATTTTCAATACCGATCAAGAGCCCTAGTTTGAATCTATGCTCAATTTATCCCAGTTCTAGTGGGAAAGTACCTCCCTGAGCCTGGAGAAAAAGCTACCCAGAGGAGAGAAAAATGAAGTCACCCATGGGACACTGTGGGAGCAGAAAGGAATGGAGATTTGGGGGAAGCTTAGTGCCTCTCACTCTGGGTGCCCTCCACCCAAAAACTCTTTAATCCATTGCACATGTCCCCACCCGAGGGAGAAGGTGCTTTTCCAAGACTCTTTTCAAGTACGTGCTGAGTGAGATGTTCTCCCTCCATTTAGTACTCTTTGCTCTAGAAAGCTCTGATGATTGCCATTGGCATGATGACCTGTGGGTTTGTGTTGGATGGAGGTGCTAGCGGGAGATTGGAAACCATTTTACTAAAGTGAGTGGCTTTACGGAAAGCATTTGCTGCAAGTAAAACCTAAAGGCTGGGACAAGTGAAAGAATGTTTATACCAATGTGATTCATAATGAGTCCAAACTGAAAATATCTAAATGTCCATCAACATTAGAATGATTAATGTGTTCTGTGATTTCATTTTTACAAAGTTCAAAAATAAGCCAAACTAGTTGATGGGTTTCAACATGAGAATAGTACCAGTCGGCTTTGTGACGGGAGTGACTGGGAAGGCATACAGAAAAAGGCACTAGAAGGTTCTATTTCGTGATGCAAGTGGTGGTTACACAGGTGTTTTCATTTTGCAAAACTTCTTTGAGCTCTAAATGTATGATTCATGCACCTTTCTTATATATGTGATTATTCTAAGAAAATACTTCACTTAAGTCCAAAGCACTGGCTTCCTGAAGTCCCCAGGAGGCTTTGAGTGGATTCCGAACACATGACTTCAGCAGACATGGGCAAAGGTGCCTCAGCACCAGGACCAGCACCCTCAGCACCACCCCGCTGGGGGCTTTGCCAGCAGGATAGGACAGCAGCAACATCTCAGCTCACAGAAACCAGGACACTGGAAGATATTACATGAGCTGAAGAAATCACCTGGCAGAGCCCACAGACAGAGACATCCCTCATTTAAACATTCCCAGGAATTACGTAGGGGGTGCTTGGAACACCCCGACTTTCCTACACGGTAGGTTAGTGCACATAGAAAAAAAAATGCCATTTTAGAAAGTTGCTGTGACCCTGCTTTCACCCTCAGGCAGGTGACAACTAAGAAGCATATTTTGAAATGTTTTTGTGAAGACTTCATCACAAAGTGGATATAAGAAACTGTTGGAAAATAAAAACAGGCCCTGTTCCTTCCCCTTTCCTGATCATGCCAAATTGAAGTCATTGAAAGACAACAGTATAATTTCCTTAAATTTAGTATTATTAAATAAACAATCTAAAATTTCTGAGCTGTGGACACTTTTGCTTCTGGGTGGAAATTATTTAAGTGAAAATGTCCTTTCCTGCACCAAGAATATTAATATAATATTAATGATTATCAAAAAAATGAAAAATGATTCACTCATGCACCTCTGTGGCAATGAATACAACTGTTGTCTTTAAACACCGATCAGTAGGCGTATGTTAAAGCTTGTAACCACTCCTAATTCACTGAATATGTATATTTTCCCAATACCTTGATGTTATAAATATCACTACAAAGCAATGTTTGTGCATAGTTTGTTTTTCCCTCTCTTTTTGGAATATCTCCAATAAGTTATTGGAATTAAACCAATAAATAGAATCACTAGGTCTACAGATTTGGGCATGTTTAAGGCCTGTGACAAATACTTCCTACGCTTTTCCTTATAAAAACTGTAAATTTTACTTCCCGAGTTTATTTTTCACTTCTTCTTTTGTTTTATTTATTTGTTTATTTTGGATTTGTGTTGCAAGGTTATTTGGGAAGAGGTCAGAACTTTGGCCCTCATGTCCAACTCCGACTTAAGTGAGCACTTTAGATTCACAGAGAGAGGCGGTTCTGTGGAAGGCAAAACTTTATGGTTTCAAGCTTAGCCAGGCTCTTGAAATCAGAACAGCCACATGCAGGACCCTCTCAATAATTCTAAACCAACTGAAATCAGACTTCATATTCATATCCTATCTGGCTGAATTACTTCCAATCTAAAATGGCTTTGAAATTTTTCATATTAATGGATTTAGATATAAAAAGTAATAAGAGAAACCTATAGACCTATATAATTTTAAAGTTTTATGTGTGTGAACCTGGAAAATATTAGAAACGTATCTCAGGCTGGTGAATAATATTCGCAATCTAAGAAGATCTATGATGTGGTCTGGGTGCTGGGGAAGGATTTGTCCAATAGCACAACCATTTTCTTGAAGGGCAGAAGAAGGAGTTTAAGGCAGGGAACATATTGCAGCAGACAAAAGAGAGGAAGAAAGGATGCAAGCACCTAATTGTCCCTATTTCCTTCTAGCAGGATGCTTCAGACCTGCACTCCTCTTCCCATGGATGTTATACTGCACTCTCCAACCTTCAGATTTTCGAAATTTGTTCCCCCAGAAGTTTTCAGATGGTTTATTCAGATGATATTGATGAAGTAGGAATTGAAAAGGAAAATCATTGAGTAAAAAAGAAAAAACAAAAAAAAAAAACAGTTGTTAGTGTTCCAGTGTTTCTGTGATTAAGCATAAAGTAAGGCTCTGAGCTCCCTGGCATCCAAGATAAAGAAGGAAACAGTCTATTTCTTGCGACGTTAGACATCTTCCCAATTCTATAACCGAGTCAAAAAGAAACTTGATTTCTGAGTGAAACTTCTTTTCTGGGCCATTTATGCAAGGGCAATGTGGGTAATATGAAGGTCAATATTATCTGCCAAAATTTTACTGCAAGTGCAGAAGTTAAATTCATTCTTTGAGCTTTTAGCACAACCTTCAATTAAAGTTAGAAGAGCTGGCTGCCATCCAAGTCAGCGATGGCAATTGTGTGAGGACAAGGATGATATATTTCAGGTTTGTAATAGAAGTACCGTAAAGACCTATATCACATTCGGGTTTCCAGAGAATGACCCTTTAGCTCAGGGTCCATCGGGACAAAGGTTGGGTGTCAAGAGACAAGGTCAGCATGACATTTAGAAATCGGAGTTTCACAAAAATGATTAAACATCAGAATCACTTGTGGATTTTTTTTTCTCCTTTATGCATTGAATCAGGGACACTAGAGATAGCATTCAGGAATGTGTTTTTATTTTTTGTTTTTTGTTTTTGGGGTTTTTTTTTAACTCACTCTCCAGATGAGTCAACAGGAGACAATTTGGGCCAGCATTTGAAAACAAATGGTTTTGAGATGGCTCTTCCTGAAGACCTTTTCTCTCTTCTGGCCTTTAGCAGAAGCCATGTGGCAAAGGTCAGGAGACTGGGACCCCTAAAGAACATCTACCATGTGGGTCACCTCATGTGGAAGATAAGAGGTGAAGTCTTCATCTTAAAAGCTTCTTATGGGACTGTAATTGTTTGGGGAAGAAAGAACAAGAGCCCAGACTATGAGTCCATCCTGGCATGCCCACCTCTTGCATTCAAGGAACCCAGATATTCCCTGCAAGGCACAAAGGCCCATTACAATCATTCTTCTAGCATGGCAATACCTGTCTGCCCTGGAAAATTTTGATAAATGCAATGCCAAGTTGAGCAGTGTGCAACCACCGCAAGCATTATTAATCAAAGAAGGGGCTGGTAGATCTCTTGGGTACTTCTATAGCAAGGGAAAAATAACCACAAGTCTGATTTCTTCAAATGACCACATTCTTTGGTTCATTTTTTTTAACCTATCAGGCTGTCTGTCGCTTAATAGTTAGAATGGTATCACCAGCTAGTGTGTAAAAAGCTGTCCCCTGGAAGCCTATTCCTGATTTGTACTCTCTCCAGGTCCCTGAAACACTAAATAAATAAAAGCGAATGGCTTTTAATGAAAGCCTTAGCCTCCTTGGTTTAGCTTTTAATTGTGTGACAGTCAAAGACACACATACGCATCACATCCTGAGCTGTTTACTGGAATTACAAACCCTCAGCCTAAATGTCAAGCTATGCCACAGAGAAATGTGAACAGCTCAGTTAATTAATGGCAAGTTCGGTGGTTGGTCCCATCATTCACGGTGATGGCGACTCCAGCTTGCTCAAGCTCTTAGCTTCCAATACAGATCAACATGATCACAGTGTTGACTTAGAGCAGACTAGAAACCCAGGGCACAAGAAGAAATTGATGAGACCCCTTTGCAGGCTCTGGGTCATCTGAATGCAGAAACTTGAAACATAAAGACAAGAGTTGCCTGTGTTGGCTTGGATTAAAAGACTTTCCAGGTTTGCCTGGTTTGGATTTGTTCACTACAGATTTGATATTTATTGAGAAAACTATGAGCCTTCTTCTTCTCATCAGAAAGTGGCTATCGTATCACTTGCCTCTGTAGGGTTGCTATGAAGTTTCGATATCACATATTTTAGTGTCTACTAAACACATAGTTGGTTGCCAAAACAATGGCTACTAGTTTAAGTGATAGAAAAAATTTTTTAAATATATAGGGCATGGTCTAATTTAAGTTGAATAGTTAATTCTTTCAATTTGGAAATTCAAGACAGACATTTATGATAAAGACACATACGGATGAAGGTCTATGGTGTACATAAAATAATACAGTTGAAAGTTCAATACCAAGTCAGATGGGGCACCTTATAATGCTGACTCCATACTCCTACTGATACCCTTGAATCCGAAAAGGTCTGCCTAGATCAAAAGCAGGAGTCACTTTTCCAGTTCTTGTTGTCATGTCATTAAGGTAACAAAATGCCAAAGGGACAGGAAACTATGGAGAAAGAACAGTGCCAGCAGCCAACAAAAGGCCTTATGGCACCTTACTCTAATGCTACTGTGCTGGACATTATTAGCTGGTGGCATGTTCTTCTCCATGGAAAGACAGCAAAGAAAAAAAATTGACTAAAAGAAACAACCTTAGGTCAATAAGTAACTTCAAACCCATAGGCATCTCAGTGCTTACAAATCCCTTAATATTTTCATCCCAAAGAATGGAATAATTAATACAGGAAAAAACAAGCAGCCAAGTAAAGATGGGCATCTTCATGTTTTTTCTTTTAAGAAATTTCCCAAGGACAATTCATTTTCATTGATCTGCTATTTACAGACTGAAAAGCTTTGCTTTATATGGTTCTACCACCCATCCTCTGTAGATGTCATCTCCCCTTGAGTGTCAAAGGGCGGGAACCCAATTACTATAAGGAAGAAGAGATACTTGGCTATTACTAGTAAATTGACAGTAGCTACTAAAAATGACTCCATTAAGTGCTTGTCCAATAAATTTTATCAGTTTTGAAATGGAAGCAGTGATGGGTTATCTGGATGCCTTGGAGTTCCAAATACACCTTGGTGACCTACAGTTGTAAAACCAAGGCTTGAGCCTAACTAAATCCCAACTTCATTCTGCCTCCCTATGCACCACAGTTGGGATGTAAATGCCATTCAGGGAGTGAGACATCTTTGTTCAGTCCTATAACCTCATCATCCAGCAGTGGACCTGGTTCAAAGCATGTATTCAATAAATAACTGATGAGGGCTAACGTCAAGGACAGCTGATATTGAGAAGACTGGCATCCTTAAACCCCACATCTCTTTGCTTCTATTTATACCCAACACCAGACTAGGCATTCTTCTTATATTTTTTTTTCCTCTGGAGCTTATCCTGATTTCACCATATGATTTTAGGTTTGTTTGCTCTCTGCCCCCAGAGTTTCTCATTTCTCACAGGAACATTCCTTGTTCTCATGACCAGCATCATGCATTTTACAACCCTCCCTCCCATTCTGTTACCACCAGCTCTGGGCCTTGACTGATGCTTGATCACGAGCTCCATCTCCCCACCCATGAGAGGAGAAGCAGGTCATTTAGACTAGAAGAAGGATTTGATGTTTCTAGGGTGAGAGAATCTACCAGGCATTCAGGACAAGTCTCTAC